AATGGGATTCTGCCAGTCACTGTGGGACTCCTCTACTACTCCCCACTGTAACATTTGCTGCAACTCCTCCTGCACAGTATTGCACAGTATCCTCGGTAGTGGCCGCACGGCATCGCACTTTCTTACCTGGTTCGGTGACTATGGAATGGCACGCTTTTGTAGTTCTCCAGGGGCGACTGGTCAATACGTGCGAGAATCTCCTGAGTAGCTCCAACAGCTCCTTGTCCACCTGGACTTCTTCTACCGTTACTTCCTTCTTGTTCCATGGCCAGAACTCCACTTCTGTTGGTTGAGGTTCAATGAGGAGGACCTCTCAGGGGTTTCACTTTTTTAACAAATCTGGGTGTTCCACCTTCTCCCTGTCCTCTGGATCTGATAGTCAACTTCACCGACCCGCCGCAACACCTCGAACAGCCCCTGCCATTGAGCCAATAGCTTGGACTCTCCTGCCGGTAAGAGAAGTAAGACCCGGTCCCCCAGCTTAAATTCTCTCAGTTTGGCATTCTGGTTATATTGGTGTACCTGGTCGTCCTGTAAGTCTTTCCTTGCCAATTCTCCCAGGGTCTTCAGTTTTTCCCTCAGTTGGAGCATGTATTGGACCGAGCCCATAACCAGGCAGGCTTGTTCTTCCCAGCTCTCCTTAATCAAGTCCAACACTCCCTGCGGTTGCCGTCCGTACAAGAGTTCAAAGGGGGAGTAACCCGAAGACACCTGTGGAACCTCCCAAATAGAAAACAAGAGGGCTGGCAATAACTTATCCCATTCATACGGGTCATTCTGAAGAAATGTATGCATCATGGCCTTTAGGGTCCTATTAAATTTCTCTACCGGCCTGTCCGTTTGTGGGTGGTACATGGATGTCCTCAGTGTTTTAATCTTTATCAATCTGTATAGCTCTGCCATTAATCGGGAGGTTAGGTTTGAGCCCTGAATTGTCAATATTTCTCGGGGCAGCCCCACTCTAGCAAAGACCTTTATGAATTCATTGGCTATTGCTGGAGCCGTGGTCTTGCATAATGGTACGGCCTCGGGGTATCAGGTAGCATAGTCTAGTACTACTAATAAATATTGATGACCCCATCCTGACCACTCCAGCGGGCCTACCAAGTCCATCACAATGCATTCAAAGGGGATACCAACTATCGGCAGAGGAACTAGCGGAGCCCTAGATACTCAGGCCATGAAGGCCTGTGGGCACTGGTGGCAGGATGCACAAAAGTCTTTTATTTCCCTATATACTCCAGGCCAAAAAAACTGCTGTAATACCCTTTGCTGGGTCTTTTCCTGTCCCAGGTGCCCAGCCCATGGATTGTCATGGGTCACTTGCATAACTCTCCACTGATACAGCTGGGGCACAAACAATTGGTACTGTCTACCCCAGCCATCTCCCTTGTTCACAACCCGATACAAGTGCTCCCCTCGTACCTCAAAGTGTGGTCCTTGGTGTCGGTGGGCGTCATCCCCAGGATCCTCCGCCGTTTCTCGCAATTGTTCCCAAGCTCTCTGTAGGGTCGGGTCCTCCTTTTGGTGCACGAGGAAGTCGCCTTTGTCCACCTCTAGAGTGACAGCCAGTGGTTGTCGAACCCCCTCCTGTTGCAACGCGGGTGTTAGGACAGGGTGCCCTTCTCCTTGCGCCACCACAGGTATGCTTTCTTTGGCATCCTGGGTCTGGGGACTCATTGCTTCCCCCCATTGGCACAATAATGGTTCAAACCCAGGCCAGTCTCAGCCCAACAAGATGGGGTAGGTCAGGTGTGGGGTTACGGCCACTGGGAATGACTCTGTCCTCTGCCCATCCTGAATCTGGACCTGGACCAAGGGGTATGGGCGCGTATCCCCGTGGATGTACTGTATCCAAACGTCCCGGACCCTGGGCTGGCTAGCCCCCACCACATCGGCCCTCACCATAGTTTGGCTGCACCCTGAGTCTATTATAGCTTCAACTGGTTTCCTATTTACTTTAATCATCGTCTCTACGCGGCCTTTGGTTGCTCCTCCCACCAGCGCCTCAGTGGTTACTATTTGTCCAAAAGTGCAGTCCATGAGGGGGCACTCGCGCCGGAAATGGCCTTCCTGTCCACACTGGTAACAGGCCCCTTTTGGGGCTGTTTCTGCCTTTTGATTCCCCTTTCTCTTCCCGGTGGGGCCTGGATGTTTCGCCCCACCCTCTGGGATAGGTGTTTGCCAGACTGGCGCCAAACTTCTGCCCTTCCCTTGGCTGAGGGCCGCCCTCGGTCTGGGTTCCACCTTACTATGTGGTCCCCGTCCCTTCGGGGGAGCCACGGGCCTGTGGCCTCGGGCAGCCATCGGGGTCTTACCCTTCCCTTTGGCCTCTTCTGCTGAGGCGTAGTGTTCCATGAGTGTGACGGCTTCATTCAATGTGATGGGGAGGTGTTGTCTCACCCATCTCTGTCCTTCTGGTGGCAAAATCTGTATGTACTGTTCTAAAATAATAGTTCAGACACCTGCATGCCCGATTTATGGCTAGAACTGGTTCTTCGATACCTCCATCACTACTTCCTCTAGGACAGAAGCACTCTTAGCAAAGAAACACAAACCCAGAAACAGAAAAATCACCCCTTTTTCCCCTCTTTTTGGGGTCCACCGATCTCTACTAGCCCTCCATGCAGGGCCGGATTGCTGCTCACATTTTTCACCACGTGTTACATATTACAGTTAAAGAGCATTGGTACAACTCACGGTCAGAGGACACCATCCAAGACCTGAGTTCCTTTTAGCTTCCACCCCTGTCATTGTGACTCGCCAGCAACTGGAGATCAGTTGGGGGAAGGGAAGTGGAGGAGGGGGACCTGGGCCCTCCCTCACTCCCGGGTCCTAGCCCAGAGCCTTAAGGCAGGGATATCCGTATCCCTTGCCTGACTGACGGGGGAGTTGCCCCTAAACGCGCCAGCTCGCGGGCTCCATTGACCCTACCCTGGGCCATTTCCTACCCTCCTTCTCTGCCTATCTTCCAGCTCCTCTGGTGCTCTGCCCAGTTTTTCCCCCCTTCCAGAGCGGCAGGCATCCTTTTTGAATATCCCACCCCTGCAATACTACTACGAGTGGGCGGTGACGTCCCTGCCGCACCTGTGGGTGACGTCATCAACCGGCGCCAGTTTCTCCCTCCTGCACTATTGGTCCCCCCTTCAGCCCCGGTCGGCAGTTTGCCTGGGTCCTGAGCCGCTACTCTGGCCGCCGTCCTGAGGCGATCCTCCTCGTCTCGCTTTGCTCACCCCAGTTCACGGGGCCCCATCTGAGTGCGGGGTTGCTCCACCCTGTCACACCTCCTGCTCTAGATGTTTACTCTGGATGTGAAGTCTTCCCATAATCTTCAACTATTTAGTTTCTTATAAGTTACAACAACCACAGAATTCTTTCCTCCCTCCCACTTGTAACTTCCTATAACCCTAAAAGCCTTTCCTTTCCTTCCAGATCAATCCAGACAGATATAATTCCATTCAGATGGAGCCAGCAGATGGCCAATTTAACAAACAAACCAAAGATATGCAACCATCCTTGGTGGGAAAGGAGAAAAGTACATAATTTTAGCTTTGTTAAATACACTGCACAAAATACCATTACTTGTCAACTAGACAAAACAGTTGGTCAGTAATTTATTGCTTGTCATCTTTTGAAAAGATAATATCATTAAGCAAAAATCATATATTTGTTATAAAAAAACCCTTAAAAATGTGTGTCAGCCAGATCAGTGGTTTTCAATCTGTGGCCTGTGAACCCCTGAAAGTACACAGAATATGTCTAAGATTTCCAAAGGGGTCTGCACCTCCATTCAATATTTGTTAGGGTTTGCAAATGAAAAAAAGTTGAAAACAACTAATGTAGATTGTTGCCATGATAACTATAAAAATAATATCAACCTATTTGACAAACATTTTAGAAAGTGAAATTGCTGAGGACAGATGTCTATGTGGCCAGGATTCATTTAGTGTTTAAAGCAGCCTTGAGAAAACCATGTCATCATTACTCAATCTAAACATGAAGATGGAATATTGTGACAGCTGCACAAAGGGTGGAAGAGACTATGATGAATGAACCTAACTGTAGGACAGAGACAGCGCCTTTTATGAGGGTCACTGAATAATACCATGGGCTCTGGGATTAAACAGTGTAGCATGTTCTGTGAAAAATGAGTGCCTTGTTAGCTGGGCACTGCTGTAGCACCATTTCTTCACCTATAAGACTAAGGGCATGTCTAAACTATGTTTTTTTTCCGAAAGAGAATATGCAAATTCGGTGGGAATTTGCATATCTTCTTTGGATCTCACTTTTGAAAGAGGATCTTTCAAAAGTGAAAGTCATCTGGATGCGAGTTTTTTTGGGAAAAAAACCCTTTTTCGAAAAAAACCTGCGTAAACCTCCTTTTTAAAGGAAGAGTGTGGTTTTTTTCGAAAAAGGGTTTTTTCCCCCCATTTGTTAGAATGTGGAAATGTACTTCTGGGAATCTTGATAAACATCAATTAACCATATAGTTAAAGCTGTCGTGGCTATTGACAACATTCATAATGTTGATTTCAATAATTCACTGGCATATATTTCTGATAATTCCTGGAAAGTTTTTCCCCTGTTTTATTAATTTATTTGTTCTGTGAAAGGAATAACAATTACATGGATTCACTAATATACTCCTGAACGATTATTTTCAGGACAAGTACAAAAATGAACACTTACGCAATTAACTGAAACAAAATATGGATATCAGGGCAGATTCTGATCTCATGTATACCAGTATCAATCCACAGTCACTCCAATTCAGTCAAGAGTGACTCCAGATTGATACTGGTATTGATTACAATAAAAGTTCAGTCCCTTGGATTTGTCCTCAGTTGCTTTCATAACAGTTGCAATGTTCAATATCTTCTTACAATTATTAGTTATGAAGCTGGATAGTAAAGCAATTATTATACTATCGTAAGCAAGTTAGTAAGTGTCTATAACAAATGGAGAGATATTTAAACTTTCTGAAATCTATCCTATTACAGGACTTCTTCCCGAGACAGTGGTTTTCTGAAGAGAGACCACATGAGAGATCTCAGAAGATACCTTGTACTCAAATATATTCAGTACCTAGTCCTGCCGTCTTCAAATACTCTCATCACTCTTTTGGGACTTTTGGGAAGTCTGTATACAATACTCATTCTGAAGTCTCCAAGCATATCGTGCAAGTCCACTGCTGTTTTTATTTCATATATAGCGAAAGCCGATATTCTGGTTTTTGTTAGCATTGCTTCCGAGATGATCATGGAGCTATTTGATGTTAAACTCGAATCTGCAGACTTTATAAAATCCCTGTTGCAGAATTTCTTCACTGCAAACATACATATTAGCTGCCTGCTGCTAAGCTGTGTTACTTGTGAGGCTCTTTTGATAACAATATTTCCAGTAGAGTCGCGCCATATAAGGACTGTGAAATATGCCAGACAGATATCTAATATGATCTGCATTGTAGTAATTGCAGAATGCATCATGTTCCAGATGGAGGACTTCCAGGAACCTTCTGGAAACAACAGTCAATTTTTTTTGTTGCTTCAGTTCTGTAACAGAGCAGCATCTCTTCTCGGGTCTCTTAGTTACTCCATAGGCTTGTTTTTAAGGATAATTAATGTCTATGTTTACTACAAAATATTTTTTAATGTAGCTAACAGGTCTAGACTAAAGACAAACTAATGTACCCCTGTAGCTCAATACAGAGTATATGAAAAAAGCTATTTGAAAGCGGTAGTTTGAAATATATACACTATACAGCAGCCAGTAAATCCAGGCTCAAAGCTGATGTTATATGATGAGGTATTTAAGTTTGTTTGTCATGCTGAGCTGGTAAATGGTGATATATGCTTCAGAGATTAGGCAAAGCTAAATTAACCAGAGGGTGCTATCAACAGCCTCAAAACTAGGTTTACTTGCTTGGAAAAGTAAGGTGTCACCCATAAATTTATTTGTTTATAGACATAACAAATTTATTACCAATTATAAAATGGTTTTAAGAAATTAAGCAATCTGAATATTATTATTCATATTAAAACAAGGCTCAGAAACAGAATCAGAAATCCTGGCTGTATCGTGCCAATTGCTATCAAGAGCCAGTATATGCTGCAGAGTTTATAATTCACGTTTGTTACAACACTTAACAGATGGATGAAATAAACATGTAGATGAGTTGTAAGCATGCGGTAGCTTGTTACCTGCCTTGTTATTATCAACATGCAGAATTCTGCAAGCAGCCCACACCTCACTCTGATGTCATGCCATAGCTCACTACATGCAGTTACTTTAATATAGTTACTTAAGCACATTAGTAAACAGCTCGTGGAACATCCCCCAGCTGAAATAAAGAAATTGAAGGCATAGATTAAGGCTGTCCTAAAGGGGTACTTTCTAGTCACCCTTTCTCCCACAGAATTTGCACAAGAGACAGCCATAATTTGGACAGCTGTATTCCCAGCATACAGTCAGGGGAAGATGGGCTAGTGCTATCAACAGACTGCCAAATCCCATATGATTTTATGCAGAAAAGGAGGACTGGGCCATGGATCTGTGTGTGAATGCTCTGAGGAAAAGAGAAGAGTGTAATGTACACTTATGAGAGGGGTAGCCGTGTTAGTCGGCATCTGCAAAAACAACGAGAAGTCCTGTGGCACCTTATAGACTAACAGATTTATTGGAGCACAAGCTTTCGTGGCAAAGACCCACTTTGTCAGATGCATCTGTCGAAGTGGGTCTTTGCCCACGAAAGCTTATGCTCCAATAAATCTGTTAGTCTATAAGGTGCCACAGGACTTCTCATTGTTTTTTTAGTGTACACTCGTTACACACTTCATCTTGAAGCTTCACGCAGTTCATAGACATAGTAATACTGCCAGCTGCTGCATTCCAGTGCTTCACTGACTTCCTGCCAGATAGCTCAGGCTGTTTACAGGCCTTAGTCTTTCTAGCTATGGATATTACATTTCTCTGACACAAATTTTCGATTTGAATGAGAAAGCCCCTGTTGCTTAGAAGAGGAAATGTGGTTTTAAGGTGAAATTTTCAGAATGAATGCCAGGAGCCCTGCTTCTATTCTTGTTTCTCTCACTTCCTGCTTAGTGTAACCTTCAGTAAATAATCTACGGCCAATTTTTCCAGCACAGCAACTAATTTGGTTGCCTAAGTGTCTGTGTTCCCAGCATTGGACATGTGTGATCTAGTTTTCACATGGGCTAACCACCTAACAACTCAACTTTAAATCAACCAGAGCTGCAGATGCTCTGCCAATCTGAAAATTATAGCTTATATATGGGGGGAAAGGAAGTTCCCAAAATTGATGCACCAAACGTTTAAAAAATTGGCCTTTGACATCTATGCTTCTGTTTCCTCCATCTGTAAAGGGGGACAGTAATGATTACATTACCTACCTCCCAAGTGGGTTGTGAAACTTAATTTTTGTTAAATGATTTGGAATCCATAATGGTGGAAGCTGGTATGAAAATGAAAAGCAAATCAGCATATATTACCAGTATCAGTTGCCCAGCTTCTATGTACAGTCTTCATTTACTGTTTGCCAAACTTTCCAGATACACACTTGCCTAGAATTCACCTGCTGTGCCAGTCTCGCTATAACAGTTTTCTGTTTTGAAAAGAAATATGCAGAGATATGGCCAAAATCAGCTCACATTTTCAGCTCTAAATTTCTTTTCTTTAATTTACATTAAAGACTAGCAGACAAGGTTGCACTAGATCTAGAGTAACTATTTATGGTAGCAAACAATCTCTGAATTTATAATGTAAGTGAAAAGAAGGATTTTGTTCCTTGGGACAATTTAAGTGGCCACAATCCAGCTTCTGAAATTCCAGATGCTTAAAGAGACACTGTCTGCCTGCAATATCTTTGAGTGAGAGATATTATTGAATTAAGTTTAAGTATCTTTTGTGATATTGTATTAAATGTGAAAGTTATGTGTTTTCATGGGCTGGGATGATCAAAGGACAACACCGAACATTAGGTCAAGCAAGAATGAACTTGTGGGACAATGCATGTGAAGTGAATTTCCTCAGAATTCTCTCAGGAAAGGTGCATACTAATTTTCCTTGTTTCTAAAGCCCAGCCTTTTAAAGCCACACCAGATGAGAGGAAGACTGTGTACTGACTACCCAAACTGTGTCAAGTGTGATACTGTCATCTTGATCTTAATAGCAGTTTCACTCACTACATATGCTGGTCAGTCCAGTGCCAATGTCTAATTTTTTGCATTTTACTACTTTATATTGTCAAATGTTCTCATTCTGAAAGTCCCTTCTAAATGTTACTTTAAACAGGAACTTTTGAAACAGGACTGTGATAGGGCCTCCTGCCCCAGACCTCCTTCGAGGGGGTCACACCCCATGAACCGGCCCCTCATCAGTAGTCCCCGGCGGCTTAGTCTGCCACCCGGTCCCAGCCTCTGGGCAGTCTGGCCCAGTGGTCTAGTCCATCAAGGTCAGGCCCAAAGGCCTAGTCCATACAATAGATAGTGATCCTTCTACTTGGGGTTCACAGGGGTGGAGGTGAAGGGCCCATGTCCACCCTCTCCACCAGGCCCCAACCCTGTTGGTGATGGGTGCATTCCCAACCACCAGCTCAGCGGGGAATTCCTCCAAAACTCACCGGGTGCCTTCTGACCCCCTGTCCTTGGGTTACTTCCTACCCCTGTCCACCTGAGTAGGGTGTGGTTTGGTGTTGGGTTGCTGCTTCTCAGGCTGCTGCTCCCTCTGGCTTGGGATGCTCCTCTGGCTGCAGCTATCGCTGGCTGCAGCTTCCTCTGGTTGCGGCTCCCACTGGCCCAGGCTGCCCCTCAGCCTGCTGCTCTGTGGGCTGCTGCTCCTGGGTTAGGGCAAGAGCTCCTTCCCCCCTGTTGCCAGCCCCAACTGACCAGCTTCTCTGGCCTTTATACTAGGGCTGCAGTGCAAGCATGCCTGGCATGGCTGTGGGGGAGGGACCTGCTCCCCCCAATAAGCTTGTCCTCCACACCCCTGGCCAATGCAGGGTTGGTACACCCCGTCACAAGGACTTTATTCATAGGAATTTATTTAAATGTAAAGTATTGTAACTAATGTTGAGGTGACTGTTTCTGCTGTATTGCAAAGGTCCCCAGCCCTTGAACCAGCTACCTGACATGTACAATGGGAAGAATACACAGAGGGGGAGATCCTCCAGCCAAATAGATTAAAATAACATCAAATATCTTTTAAATTTGTCCAAGTGGGGCGGGGGGAGGGAGGAAGAGCAAACACCTACCTTTCATAGTGCCTATAACACTACAAAGTTCATTGCATACATTACCATTTAACAATTCCAATTCACCTTTCACAGACATTTACCTTCCCCGCCCCCCCGGATCTCCCTTCTGTTCTGAAATGTGATTTGTCCTTTTCATATGTGTTCATTTTTTTAATTGTATCCTTTGGTATATATGGTTGTGACAATTTTCTTCCACTATTTGATCTGAGGAAGTGGGTCTGGCCCACGAAAGCTCATCATCTACTAAACCATCTTGTTAGTCTTTAAAGTGCTACGTAGTCATGTATTTTGTTTCAGCTACACCAGACTAACACGGCTACATTTCTATCACTATTTCACGCCAGCAGTTACTGGTTAAGGCTTTTATTGTGTCACTGATGTAAGTTAATTTCATTTCTCTACATCCTGTATGGTTCAGGCCTTTTAGAAACTGCCTCATTCCTTATACGATAGTACACTAATTAGATCACTTTAGGCATTGAAGCTAATCTCTCTGGTTTAAACACAAAGGCCTTGACTCCAGCTATTTCTCTGCCTTGATCTGACAGACCTAGTGACCCTCATGGAATGCAACAGTACTTTCCCAAGCTTTTCTAGAGGCGGCTGGAATAACACAAGAAGATAAAAGGTTATTTGTAGGGATTGGGATTCCCTTTCCCCAATTTGTTGGGCTATTTTGAGAGTAGTAAATCATTCTTGTTCTTAGTGTAGGCACTCTGATTATTTTTTCCCTGTAATCATTCAGGATATTGTTTCCTTTTTAAGTCCTCAGGTCAAGTCCATTATTCTTCTCAAAGCTGTTTACTTGGCCTCTTCTAAAACTGTTTTGTAAACATGTTTGAAAGTTTTAATTAAAAAGCCTCTACATTAAAAAAAAAAAGAGCATTTTCCTCATCCACAGTATCAGTGGAACAATCTCCTATTTAGATAATAAATTATTATTTTATTCCAGTAATTTACAAAATCTTGAAAATACCCTAAGGCACTCTCATAAAATAAGAAGCATAGCTGAAATGATTATTTATTTACTGAGTTTATAACAGAAACTAGATCAACTGCTTCTTGGATAGGTATGGGCAATAATTTTAATGGGGGGCACTTTAAGAATTTGCTAAATGGTTAAGGAAAGCACTTTTCTATTATATTAATGGAGAGGCTTCTGGGATGGAAGGAGGGAGCTCTGAGTACAGGATTGTGGTGCAGGAGAGAGTGGAGGTCTGGGTGCAAGAGAGCATTCTGACCTGGAGGAAGTGTTCAGGATAGGGTGCAGAAGGTTTGGGTTGTGACCAGTGTTCCCTGTAAGTGGTACACTTGTGCAGCCACTAAGAAGAGGTTCAAATGCTGCCCAGATGATTAGCTGAGAGCCCACATCTAGGTTTTCTTTCTACTCATGGTGCACATTCACATTTGCTTCAGTGCAGATAAAACAATTTATTCTGCACATGCATGGAAAAAAATTAGAGGGAATATTGGTTATGACCAGAGGCAGGAGTTAGGGGTACAGAAGGAGTGGGGTGCCAGGTGCAGGTTCTGGCCAGGAGATGCTTATTTGGGGAGACTCAGATGCCAAATATTTAGTCAAGTTAAATATTAGAGCCCATTGAGCAGGCTCCCTGCCTGGTGCACTCTCACGCACTGCTCAAAGCGGCTGGCTGTTGGGGCCAATAAGTGCGTTTGAGTGCAGTGCATGCCATCAGGGGAGGAGGGCAATGGGTCTCCACATGTTGAACGTACCCATAAGCATAGCCCAGGTAGCTCTTATTGGCCAGTTTCCAGCCAATAAGAGCTGCAAGAATTGTGTTGGGAGAAGGAGGATTCCCCCCCCCCCCCACACGCACACACAAGGTATGCACAGCATGGAAGAAAACACATGCTGGCCCCAGCAACTGGTTGCTTTGAGCAGCACATGGGGCCACAGCAGGCAAGGGGCCTGCTCAATGGACTCTAATATTTAACTTGACTAAATATTTGGCATCTGAGTCTAATCTAATTTATACTACCAGTTTTATGACTTCTAAAGGGATACTTCTTATTTACACCCTTGCTCACTCAGAATTCGGCTCTGCCTTTCTTAAATATACATACGTTTGTTATTATTTATGGTAAGCCCACCATAATTATGATAAAACAGATGCTCTGTTACACACCTAATTTTAGACCTTTAAAATAATTTAAAATGTCATATCAGCCCCAAAACTGGTGGGTTAGGTTAGATTTGGGGCCAACATAGAATTTTGCTTCAAACTGGAAGTGAAGTGGACAAGGAATTATTGAACTGACCCTATTTATCTCCATTCAGACAGACAACTTTGTTTCTATAGCAAAATCACAAGAAGAGGAGAAAAATAAAACAGTTCATTGGTCTGAGAGGA